TTAAGGAGTTATAAATGTCATTTTCCCATGTAGGAAATCTTTATCAGTTTAACCTTATCAAATCCCTATTCCTTATGATTTCTCTTTCCTTTTTTACACCTTTTTTTTGCTTCTTTTGCATCTTATATTTGAAATTAACATTTTCTATTCAACTCTGGTCTTTTCATCAGGAATGCTTGAAAGTCCTCTATTTCATTGAATGTCTATTTTCTTCCCCTGAAAATTATACTCAGTTTTGCTAGGTAAGTGAGTCTTGGTAATCCTAGCTCTTTTGCCCTCCAGGATAAAATATTCCAAGCCCTCTGATCCTTTAATGTAGAAGCTGCTAAATCTTGTGTTACCCTGACTGCGGCTTCTTGACATTTGAACTATGTCTTTTTGGCTGCTTGTAGTGTTTTCTCCTTGATCTGGGATGTCTAGAATTAGGCTATAATATTCCTAGTAGTTTTCATTTTGGGATCTCTTTCAGGAGATGATTGATTGGTGGAGTCTTTCAATTTCTATTTTACCCTCTGGTTCTAGAATATCAGGGTAGTTTTCCTTGATAATTTTTTGAAAGATGATACCTAGGCTCTCTTTTTGATCATGCCTTTCAGGTAGTCTAATAATTCTTAAATTATCTCTCCTGCAGCTATTTTTCAGGTCAGTTATTTCTTCAATGAGGTATTTTACTTTTTCTTCTATGCATTCATTCTTTTGATGGCTTCTTGATGTCTCATAAAGTCATTAGCTTCCACTTGTCTAATTCTAACTTTTTAAGGGATTATTTTCTTCAGTGAGCTTCTTGTACCACCTTTTCCATTTGGCCAATTCTACTTTTTAAACAGTTCTTCTCTTCAGTGAATTTTTGTATATCTTTTTCCATCTGGCCAACTCTGCTTTTCAAGGTATTCTTCTCTTCATTGGATTTTTGTGCCTCTTTGGCCATTTGACTTATTCTGTTTTTTAAAGTGTTATTTTCTTCAGGTGTTTTTGGTGCCACCTTCACCAAGCTGTTGATTTTTTTTCATGGTTTTCTTGTGTCACTCTCATTTCTCTTCCCAATTTTTCCTCTACCTCTGTTACATGATTCTAAAAATCCTTTTTGAGCTTTTCCATGACCTGAAACCGATTCATATTTTTCTTTGAGGCTTTGGATGCAGGAATTTTCACTTTGTTGTCTTCTTCTGAGTGTGTTTTGATCTTCCTTGACACCACAGTAACTTTCTAGAGTTAAAAGTTTTTTCTATTGCTTGATCATTCTATAGCTTATTTCTTGACTTTCAACTCTACACTGACGTGGAGTTCTACTTCCCAACTGGAGGGAGCACTGTCCCAAGCTTCAGGTTTTTTGTGCAGCTGTTTTCAGAGGTAATTCTGGGGACTTATAAGTTTTTGGTATGATCTAGGGAGAGGTGTGTTTACTACTCTCCTGTACTGGGCACTGGTTTGTGAGCAACCACAAGCACTCTTTTCAATCCTGGAACTGTGACCAGGGTCCCTGCTCCCTTGCAGTTGCAAACTCTGCTCTGCTAGTGCTCCTCCTCGAACAAGGACTTAGACCTAGGACTGCGACCCAGATCCACGTATAGGTAATGCAACAGAGCCCTGCCCCTGTTGCTAGCAAAAGGTACCCTGTAAATCTCTGTCTGACCCACTGTCTGATCCCCATACCATCTGTGGGCCAAGAGGCCTGGAAACCACCAGTGCTACCACTGATTCAGTCACCCTGAGCCTGCTCCTGGTTTGCTAGGGTTCAGTAGGAGCTGGCACAGCTTGTGCTGGACTGTACTCCTGTCTCGCTCTGGTGCAACAGACCTTTCCTATCGATTTTCTAAGTTGTCTTGGGCTGGAAAATTGTTTCACCCCACCTTTTGGTGGATTCTGCCACTCTAGAATTTGTTTAGAGTCATTATTTAAAGGTATTTGGAGGGGGCAGCTAGGTGGCGCAGTGGATAGAGCACCGGCCCTGAAGTCAGGAGTACCTGAGTTCAAATCCGGCCTCAGACATATAACACTCACTAGCTGTGTGACTCTGGGCAAGTCACTTAACCCCAACTGCCTCACTAAAAAAAAAAAAGGTATTTGGAGGAGTTCAGGGGAGAGATGTCTTTACTCTGCCATCTTGGCTCTTCCTCTCCCATTATGCTTTTTTTTACTAAAAGGTCACTACTGATATTTAAGACAGCATCTTCAGTAGCTAGAAACAAAAACCAGATTAAAATGGCTTAAAGAGGATGGCGATATTGAAGCAATACAAGCATCAAAGTATTTCCCTTGATTTCCTGTTCTAAGACCCTATCACTTTAAAAGAGGCAGTTTGGCACAATGGATAGAGAACTAGCAGTGAAGCCAACAAGATATGGGTTTCATCCTGCCTAATTTATATTATATGATTCTAGTGGAATCACTTAAACTTCTCAATTCCTTAGGCAGTTCTCTACAACCCAGATCAGCAAAGGGACTTTCCTATACCAACAAAATCACAAGACACTGCAATCCCCACTTTCTGTACTAAGGGATCCTGTCACTTTAAACTTTCTGTATCTGAAGGAGTTTTTAAAAGTCAAGTGCTGAGAACTGCTATGGAAACCTGGATAGAAGCATATTAATTAACTTTAAAATTACATAGAGATAAGTAAAATAAGGACAGGAGCTCTTCCTCTTCACTTAAAAGTAGATGGAAAAAGACTTCTTTCTGCTTAGTGAATAAAGTGTCATGGGCAGAAAGGAAATAGTGAGATCATAACATTTTCTTCACAAATCCTTTCTGGCCCCATTCCCAAGCAGTTCCACCTTGTGGTCTCCAAGAAAGGATAAAGTAGGACTATGAAAGAAGAGAAAAAGAGATGCTACAAACACACCCATTAAGTAAAAAATCCTAGGTTTCAAATATACTTAAAGAGCAAACAAAGAGGTGGTTACTAAATTAAATGTCAGAGTTCTAATATTAGTTCCAATCACCGTAAGACTGTGTCAGAATAAACCTTAACTTACATTTAATGTTTTACATTTACAAAGTACCCTTGAAGGATATTCCTCATAATATCTATTACACAATGTTGCTTTTCCTTAGCAAATGATTGTTACTTTTAAGAAAATTCCCCACTATAAACAGAACACTTGCTAAACTAAGATTAAATGCACTAATACTAGTATGAGCAGAAGATGAAACATCCTTTGCTCCCCCTCCCTCTCAGTATTTTAAAGCATGAAATGCTGCATAAACAGTCAGATGAGGTCATTTTGATCTGTTTTTCTCAGTTACTATAGGGAGAAGGCAATAGAGTATCAGGAAATTACTGAGTAAAAAAGAAGGCATTAATAAAACTTGTCATTTTTCGATACAGTGTTTAACTAAATAAAGTAACTGTCACATAAAACACTATCCTTTATTTTGAATTCTTTCTAGCTTACATCTGTGATCGTGGCACCGTGCTGCCACCTGGTGACAGCATACCTAAACAGCAGTAATTCTCAAGAAGTAAATTAGGCCACCCTTTGACCCTGCAATACAATACTACAAAGTCTGTATATCAAAGAGGTCAAAGAAAAAGGACCTATATGCACACAAATATTTAAAGCAACTCTTTTTGTGGTGGCAAAGAACTGGAAATTGGGGAATGCCCAGCAATTGGGAAATGGGTGAACAAGCTGTCATATATGAAAGAGAAGGAATACTATTTTGCTATAAGAAATGACAAGCAGGATGCTCTCAGAAAAACCTGAGAAACTTACATGAACGGATACAAAGTGAAGTGAGCAGAATATTGTACACAGTAACAGAAATATTGTATGACGATCAACTGTGAATGACTTAGCTATTCTCAGCAATACAACAATCCAAGACAATTCTGAAGGACTTACGATGAAAAATGCTTTCCACCTCCAGAGAAGAACTGACAGTCTGAATTCAGAATGAAGCACACCTTTTTTTTTACTTTCTTTCTCTTGGTTTTGGGGAGATTTTTTTTTTGGTCTGTATTTTCTTTTACAGTATGGAAATATGTTTTGCATGACTGTACATGTCTGGCCTATATCAAATAACTTGCCTTTTCAGAGAGAGGGAAGGAAAAGGAGATAAGAAAAGATTTTGGTACTTAATTTTTTAAAAAGTTATTGTTTCCAAATGCAATTTCTTAAAGTAAATGATGCCTTAATGCCCAAAAGGCAAAGGCAGCATAATGAAATAATAGGTGGTTCTTTCCAAAGAAGCTCTAAATAACCAGGTAAGTTTCAAAAATGTCATCAATGATGCTAACTAATGATAATACATCCATGGAAAATTCAATTGACCTGTAAGGCAATCAACTATAAACCAACAGGGCTACACTAGATGAACTTCTGATATTCCTCTTATCTCTAGTAACTATTTTACAACTCTATGAAATTTATGAGGAAGATGGACCAGAATTATCTATTCCATTTTGATCTATATCAGAAACCATTTTGAAAAGCAAATAGCATTTAATTTTTTAGGTGAAAAAGCAATCTAAGCAATAACGTTCTCATTCACAAAATTAACTCTGCATCCCACGTCTAATAAAAATAAGTAGTAAAGGGGCAGCTAGGTGGCACAGTGGATACAGCACCAGCCCTGGATCCAGGAGGACCCAAGTTCAAATCTGGACTCAGACACATAACACTTACTAGCTGTGTGACCCTGGGCAAGTCACTTAACCCCATTGCCTAGCAAAAACAAGAAACAAAAAAAAATTAGTAGTAAGAACAAATTTTCATAAAGCTGCTAAGACTCTAAAACTAATCTGTCTAAATTACCTTCTTCTTCAATGGTCTAAATATACCATAGGGGTGGGATTATCTGCTCCTATAGATCTCATCAAAAAATAAACAGTAAAGGAGTCCACCTTTCTGAGATTCTTTCTTTGAATTAAATTTATACTACTGTTTTCTACCTGTGCAGAATTAACTCCATTCCCCTGCAGTAAAAAAATTAACTTTCAATTAGTCATTAACACAACTGAGAAAAATCCCAGCAAAAGTTTTAAATGTTAACAAACCTGCTGGAACTACGAGATCTTCTTGATGCATTGTAACTTCTGGGAGGTGTTCTGGATTTCTTATCCTTCTTTCTTTTCTCATCTATCTCTCTGGCTCTGTCCTTTTCTCGTTCTCTATCTCTGTCCTGCTCCTTTTCTTTGTCTCGCTCCTTTTCCTGCTCTTTTTCTTGATCTTTTTCCCGATCTCTCTCTTTGTCCTTTTCTCGATCTCTTTCTTTATTTTTACTTCGTTCCTTTTCTCTTTCTCTGTCCCTATCCCTTTCTTTTTCTCTCAGTCTTTCTTTTTCCTTGATCTTTTCTCGATTTTCTTTTTCTTTTTTCTTGTCCCTGTTATAAAAAAAAGTAGAAAAGGAAAAAAAATCACCACAGAAATGATACTTGATACTCCCTTCTTTAACCAGACTAATACAAAAAAAAGTCAATAATTAACCTACAACAGTACATAACTGGACATGCAATAACCATCAAAATGCAACATAATCGACAAGTTAGAAAGCTACTGAACAAGGGCAAATTTTAGCAGGAGACAATTTTGGCAGTCTCCTGAGTGACACTGAAGTAAGTTAAAATAGGATAAGGACTTCTGGACAGGGGGTGTTTTTTTGAAACAGAATCTCAAACCTTGGGGGAAAACAGGGGTTTTCAATGTGAATTAATTATCAAACTGAACAAAAACAACAGATAAACAAGCAGTATGTGCTGAGTAGGAACTACCTATTTATAGAAGATCAATCTAAAGAATGTCATTTTATTTAAAAGTATCTGACCCTAAGAGGAAATGAGATCTGGCAAGGACAAACACAAAGCGGAGGGAGAGAGAATAAGCATGTGTGCTTGGGGTAGTGATTTTGTGTGTGTGTGTGTGTGTGTGTGTGTGTGTGTGTGTGTGTGTGTACTGGCTATACCAGGTGCTTATATCAAGAAAGCTGTTCTGTGACTCAGGGGCTATTTTGTGAGTGGGAGCAGACAGAGCTAATAAAATAATCAAAGCCAAATCAATTTTGCATCAAATTTGCAATCTATGACAAACCTAGGTATCCCAACTTATCAAAAATGCATACTTGTGCTTCACTTCAGAAAGCACAGGAAAACTTGTTACTACCTTTAATTATCAAATTTATTATGTGGAAAAACCATGTGGTCCAAGAAAACTAACCAGGAGCTATCTCCCAATGCCATCAGTGCAAACCCACTTATAAGCCAGAGAACATATATTCTTGTTGGTGGCAGAAAAGGTAAATCTAATTTTAGTGTGGAATTGCTATTTCAATTTTCACTTAAAGAAAACAAACAAGACTAATTTCAGTCAAGAGTCTATTAGTTTGTTATATGAGATCTTTCTCTGAGAGGACTGGGTTGAGTTCTCAGGAAAACTATAAAGATGCAAAAAACAAGACATCAATGAAAACTTAGTGTCTATTAAAATAGTTATAAATGTTAATAAAAGGATTTCATCTAATTTTTCATTACTCAAAGTCTGCCTAAAGTAACCTTACAAAGTTTAAGTAAATTGAGCCTTTTCAAAGTATTTGTTGAGACTCTCATACACTTTTTGGGAAAAAAAATGTAATCCACAATTCTTTCTGTACTCACCGTGAACGTGAACGAGTCCTTGACTTCCGTCTCTCCTTAGACTTAGAACGTTTTTTGTAGGGGCTCTTAGATCTACGCCTGTCTTTCTGTCTCGAACGTGACCTGTTATGGGATCTGCTCCTACAATGAAAAAATAACAGAATATACTTGGACCCAATTCATGGCATCTCAAGAAGCTGGGAAAGGAAGTTTCTATTGTCTGCTCTAATTTCTAAAAATTATTTACTCTCAAGAAATGAAATATCTTTCATCAAATTTTCTACTCCTAGACAAAACATTTATTTAATTCTGCTTTGGTTTAACGAATATAAAAATTGACTAAAAAATTCTTTTAAAATCAAGCTATAAATTTAAATAAAACTTTGATTTAAAGTTTTTTTTCTAAAGTTTTACAATTAAGAATTTAAACAGAAGGAAATTCCAAAAGGAACTCATTCTCTATCTCCTTCCTTGACAAAAGATAAAATTGAGCTACTGAACTTTTTACATGGTGTTCTCACATTTTTTCCCTTTTTATTGTATAACAGACATATTCTTTTAATTTCTATGGCATGACCTACCTCAAGAGATAAAACAACAGTCTTTATCATTTAGGATAGATATAGATCAAACAATTTAAATGACATCATTCACTTTAAATTACTTCTTATTCAGAACACATAAGGCAGTTTTGAAACTGAATCATTTATTTACATTCACAAAAGGCATTTTCACATTTCCTTACTTAATGTGGCTCCAGTTTCAAAAGGAAATAGGCTTAAGTGGCTGACTAAAATTAAGAAGAAACAAACGATCTCTCACAGGAAAAACTGTGCTTTAAAATTACCCATTTTTATTTAATTAAAGCTTTAAAAAACTAATATTAGCTCAGAATTAGAGTAAAATAAATACAGGTGCAATTTTATCTGTTAACCACAGTAAAAATTAAATGGTATCTAAACATCAATCTGAGTATTTAGGCTGTCCAACTTTGATAGTTGGACCAAAATCACCTGAGTTTTAAATTCAGAACTGAAACTCTTCTCACCTGTGTTTTGATGGTGATCTTTTCCTTCTAGAATGTGATTTTGAGCTAGACCTGGATTTTGAACGAGTATGGGAACGAGATCTGCCGCCTTTTCTTTCATTGCTCTTTCCAGACTCTGAGAGGAAAAAATCACTTTGCAGTGTAAGCTCAGAACAATTAAAGATCCCAGTTAATACTCAGGCACAAGTGGAATGTACCACACATAATGTAAGGGGCCTACTCTCTGTACATCCTCCTTCTTTGCAATTATCCTTCAGAAACATCCAAGAAAGTCATTGCATATACTCGTTGAGTGCAGCCATCCTGCAGCAGTACATATAAACCAGATGATTATAAACAGCTGTGCATAAGGAATGATCTGATGCTGCCATAATGCACATGATTACAACATGTCAATTTCACTATCTCAAAAGGAATTCTGAAGTCTTTTCTGATTTTTTTTCTTTTGCTACGGTAGGAGATGCAATTTGCAGAGCATTTGAAAATATGTTCAAATTGAACATTTTCAGAATGCTTTTTCCCCCTAGTTAGCAGAATATTAATCTGCTTAATGACAAACAGGTATAAAACATTTACCTTTTGTAACTTCAAAATAATTTTTTGAATATAGTATTTTAAACCAACTATTTAGTAAGCACTAATTTTAGTAGTAAAATGTAGCACAGATTATTCTAGTTCTATGTGCCTTAATGCTGAAGAGGAAAAATAATATTCATTAAAAGTAAATGATCTTAAAAATCCTGTCATTGAGCATCAATTTCCTCATCTACATGAAGGCTTTAGACTTCTAAGGTCCCTTTCAGCTCTAAGATTCTACCACTTCTAATGTATAATCTAAGTAACCACTCAACGAACCTACCTGGTTCAATAGCCGCTGAGATAAATGACTGGGCTTCTCGTACTCTCTTCATAACTTCTTCTAGTTCCTTAGCAGCAGCCTGAGGAGTCATCTCAGGGGGCTTTACTATTGCATTGTTGGAATGATTTATTCTAAATTTAAAAATATCATAATATATACACTTAAAAACACAAATTACTTTTTATGTGGTACACATAAACAAAAAACACTTAAGAATCCCAACAAATAATACAACCAAACCCTTCTAACATCTAACTAACATAAGTCTTCTTTGCTAAATCACTCGTTACTGATGAAGCCAGAACGATGAAAAGATCTACATGGTCTTAAAGAATGCTAACAATGAACTACAAACTTTAAGTCAATATAAAGATGAACTGTTTTTGATCCTAGAGTTTAAGATTTGGCTTTTTCCGTATATCCACTTGCACACAATCAGCTCTGAAAAACTTTGAAAGATCAGAGAACACCTAATAAACAGACTTTCAGATAGAATCCTTCCTAAGAGATCACAGCATCTACTTAGTGCCTACACAAGGATAAGGTTGAAAGAACTGGTATGCTTTGCCTCCCTCTTAGGATGGACAAGAGCATTTTCATTTCCCCTCAAATCTGCCCCTCTCCTCTCAAATTCCCTCTATCTGTTGAACCACCATCCTTTCAGTCACCCATATTCGCAAACTTCAGTTATCTAACTTGTTCCTCTCCCCAATACCCAAATCTAATCCATTATCAAGTCCTCTTGGTCCTACCCTTTCAGTCTCTTACATCCGTCCCCCCCTCACCAGTCATAGTGCCACCACCGTAGCACACTCTCTTTACTGTTCACCAGAATTATAATAATCCCATAATGCATTTCTCTACCTCTCATCTTCCCCAATCCATCCTCCAAAAGCCACCAAACTAACTTTTCTAATGCTGAGTTCAAAAAACGTTACACTCTAGTTGAAAAATTTCAGCAGTTCCTCATCACTAGTAGAATAAATAACAAACCTCTATTCCTAACATCAGTAACACTCTAAAAATCTGGCTTAAATCTTCTAACCTTACTTCACACTACTTGTCTTCAAACATTCTGTGTTCACCAATCACACTCTTCAGAATTGTCAGACTCATCTCAGTTTCTTTTGCAGGTTCATCATCAATATCCCACACTCTATGCCTGTACTTTCACACAAGCTGTTAAATTGATATTTCCAAAGCCTAGGCCCGACTACATCATTCACCTACTCAAAAGGCTTCAGTAGTTTCCCAGTGCCTTTAAGATAAAACACAAACTCCCCTTTGGTATTTAAAGCCCTTCACAATCAATCTCCAGCCTATCTTTACAGGCTGACCACATATTCCTCTAGTCATATACTCTACATTCCAATTAAACTTGCTGCCTATTTTTGCTGTTCCTGTGTATGCATCATTCCATCTACCACCTCCATGCCTTTTCACAGGCCGTCCTCCATGTTTGGGATGCACTCCCTCTTTATTTTTGACTCATAATCCCCAGGTCCCTTTAAATTACAGCTCAAGTACTACCACCGGGGCCTTTCCAGACTCCCCCTAATTTTTAGTGTTCTCCTTCCTTCAACTACTGAGCCTGCTGCTTTCCAGCCTTCTTCATGCCCTGCCCCCTTGCATTACACCTTTACCTCATGGATCAAATAATCAAAAGAACACTGTTATTGCTGTTAAGGACATGGACAATCATAGGCCCTATGGTTCCATTCACAATCCCATGACTTGCCAATCCAAAATATCTCTCCTTCCAATATGTGTTGTCCTTGAAGGCAGGAGGTATTTTTTTATACTCATAAAGAACCTGGTACATAATAAGCACTTCATAAATTTTTTTTCATTCATTCATATTTCTTATTTATCTGTGAACATATTGCATAACCTATTAGAATGTAAATTCTTCAAGGGCAAGTACTGTCTCACTTTTATATTTATAACCCCAGCACCTGGCACAGTGCCTTGACTGAAAAGATCCACTAGTACCAACTATTTATGCAAAATCTAGCAGGAACCTGGACAAATGGATTACAGCAAGCATCTAAACAAGTCAACAATTTGTGTAATAACTTTTGGTCTGAATAACCTAAATGACTGTCTGTTTTCAATGAGATAGCTATCACTTGCCTGTGATACAAAATACTGAATTTGACTTAAAAAAACTCTTCAGGGGCAGCTAGGTGGTGCAGTAGATACAGCACCAGCCCTGGAGTCAAGAGGACCTGAATTTGAATCTGGCTTCAAACACTTGATGCTTACTAGCTGTGTGACCTTGGGCAAGTCACCTGACCCTGTTGCCTAGCCAAGAAAAAAACAGAAACACAAAACAAAACAAAACAAACCTTCTCTAATTACTTGATGTGCAGCCAAGTGGCAAAGTGGATAGAGTGCTGGGCCTGGAGTAAGCAAGACTTACTTTCCTGAGTTCAAATCTGGCCTCAGACACTTAATAGCTGTGTGACTCTGGGCAAGTCACATAACCCTGTTTGTCTCAGTTCCTCATCTATAAAATGAACTGGAGAAGGAAATGGCAAACCACTCCAATATCTTTGCCAAGAAAACTCCAAATGGTGTCACAAAGAGTCAAGACACTACTGAAACAACAATGTACTCATAGCAACTGAATTTAGCAAAGGTCCTAGAAGTAATCTCAAATGATTACCCAGTGCCCCCAAATGGCCCATATGCTTTCTTAAAAATATGACACAAAGTGGAGTCAGGAGGACCCGAGTTCAAATCTGGCCTCAGACACATAACATTAGCTGTGTGACCCTGGGCAAGTCACTTAACCCCAACTGCCTTGCAAAAAAAAAATTATGATACAAAGAATATCTGTAGAATGTGATGAAAAATGCTGAGTATGGTCAGTATTTTCATATTAAATTAACACTAAATAAGGTTTGCAATATAAACAATGGCAACGTAGACTTGGCAACTGACCAGACATTAAAATCTAGGTTGACCCCTAGTTTGAGAACCTGGATGACTGAAGGGGTGTGGTGCCCTTGACAGGAACAGAGAAATTAGCAAGAGTATGTAATAGATAAACATAAGTTTCATTCTCCCTTAAATGCCAATTGCTACTAAAAGGCACACATGTAACAAAACCAAGAGTAATAATTTTTCTAACACTGTTACAATTTCTTTTTTTAGAATTTCTTACTTCAGTGGCCTGTCTCCAAACATTACTCCATTAAAAGCAAGAGCTCGTGGTACAGAGTTCTGATCTGCAAATTCCACAAAAGCAAATCGAGTTGGCTGAGTCTCATCACCTGCCATACGAACAAATTTCACTTCTCCAACTTGTTTAAAAAATTCAAGTAGCTGATCAGCTGTGGTAGTCTAAAAAGATACAAATAAATCATAATAAATCTGTGATCTAACAATCAGATAAACATCAACCAACGGCAATTAAGAAAAAAAGGGAACAGGGAGTTACTACTACTACTCAGTTTCTTCCTTAATTTCTTACCTGGGAATTCAAGTTTCCAACATAGACAGTCCTCCTAATTTCATCAATTTTGGAAGGATCCACATTTCCCATAAGTGGTGGCTGTGGTATCTCTCCAAGTGTTGCAAGGTTAGGGTCTAGTGCTGCTGCCGGTATAGCTCCCAAGCTGCTAAGTGAGACACTAAGCTGTTAAAAAAAAAGAGAGAGAAAGAAAAGCACATATGTTTTTACTATTAAATATCAGTCAACAAGCATTTATTAAGTACTTACTATGGGCCAAGCATTTTGCTTTGTGCTGAGGATACAAAGAAAAGTTTTTGTCTTCAAACTGCTCATATTCTAGTTAAGGGAGACTGTGCAAATAGCATACATAAAAGACATACACAGTATAAATGGAACGTAAACTCAAAACGGATGACATAAGTAGCAGTGAGAGTCAGAAAAGACCTTCTGGTGAAGGTGGGATTTAAGATGAGTCTAAAAGAAGCCAGGGAAACCAGGAGTTAGAAGTGAGGGAGAAGAATACCGTAGGCATAGGAAACATACAAAGACAAAGAGTCCTGTATGAAGAACTGATAAGTATGCCGATCTAACTGAACCATAGAATACATGGAGAGTTGTCTTTAAAGAGTAAAAAGCCTGAAAAGGGCCATGATTTAAATGTCAAAGAGAAAGTTTTATATTTGATCTTGGAATATTCCCTTATGCCATAAAAAAGTGAGCAACACCAAGAAGTCTTAACTTTAGTCAAGGGATAATAAATTCTTATGGTCAATTAGGAAAATCACACCATGAGACCTCTCCAGTAAAATAATTACTGTGTATATATTCTCTCCACCAATGAAAACCAAAAATTATCTCCTACTTAATATATTATTTTTGAGAGCTGCCTTAGTAGATAGTCTCTAAGGCCTCTTGACCTCTCTATCAAGGGTTCAGCAGAAAAATTCACCGCCCAACCCAAGCCTTTCTTGTTCTCAGTTAATAGTAACAGAGTCTGTCACTGAACCTGTTCACAATATATTAGGTTTTTAAAAGGTGAAAATTTCTACTATTTATTATTATTCTCATTACTGACAACTTGTTAGGAGTTCAGACACTTTTAAAAAACCTATCAATCAACCATTTATTTTTTTAAAAAACCTAATGGGGCTGCTAGGTGGTACAGTAGTTAAAGCTCCAGCCTTGGAGTCAGGAGGACCTGAATTCAAATCCGACCTCAACCACTTGACATCTACTAGCTGTGTGACCCTGGGCAAGTCACTTAACCCCAACTGCCTAAAAAAAAAAAGATATGGGGAAGACAAGCATATTTGATAAGGGAAGGAAGCAGCTAACAGGGAAAGGTTGAACACTGGAGAAGAGGGATAACTGAGTCTGCAATTTGCTGGAAAAGACAGGCAGGCCTGAGATAAAGTGTATGTATATATAAAGGGGTTTTCCTTGGTAAAGATAAGGGCTATCCTTTTGTCAGAGACTGGGGGTGAAGAGGAAAGAGTGGAAGATGATGTTACAGCATTTAATTTTTCCTTGATTCATTCCCTATCTCACTCCCTCAGAAACTATTCCAAACCTTCCTTTTGTTCTTAAAACCTCCCTATCTTCTCCTTCTCTCTCTCTCTCTGCTGAGGAAATTGCCTCTTACTTTTCCTAAAAAACTCCATTTCTTTGTTCTACCAAGGGCCCAGTTGTGGTTGGATAACACAAATATGTAGTCAGCACAACTATGAGATTTTCTCTGGCTTCATTCATCAGTTCCCAAGTAAGAGTGGAAAAGACCTCCATTCCCTCTACCCTTCAGTACTTTCTCAGGCCATTACACTTGCTCCAATCTCAACCCAATAATTAGCCATTTCAACACAACTTTGGCCCTGGATTACTTTCACTATCTTATATGATACATATAATGGGTAAAATGTGATTTGAATTCATAAGGTAACCTTTAATCAAAGGATATAAGCAGTTTTCAGATGAAATTAAAGCTATTTACAGTCATTTGAAGAAATGCTCTAAATCACTATTGATTAGAGAATTGCAAATTAAAACAACTCTAAGGTACCACCTCACACCTTTCAAACTGGCTAACAAGAGAAAACAGGAAAATGATACATGTTGGAGAAAATGTGGGAAAACTGGCCATTGTTGGTGCTCTCCAATTTGGAGAGCAATTTGGAACTACCCCCAAAGGGCTATGAAACTGTGTATACCCTTTGATCCAGCAATAGCACTACTAGGTCTATATCTTTAAAAGATCACAAAAAAGGGAAAAGGACCCCCATGTACAAAATATTTATAGCAGCTCTTTTTGTGGTAGCAAAGAACTGGAAACTGAGGGAATGCCCATCAACTGGGAAATTGCTGAACAAGTTGTGGCATATCAATGTAATGGAATATAATAGTTCAATAAGAAATGATAAGCAGGTAGATTTCTGAAAAACCTGGAAAGACATGGACTGATACTGAGTGACTTAGTGAGCAGAAGCAGGAGAACACTGTACACAGTAACAGCAACACTGTGCAATGACCAACCTTGATAAACTTAGCTCTTCTCAGCAATAAAATGATTTAAGATAATTCCAAAAGACTTGTGATAGAAAATGCCATCCACATCCAGAGAAAGAACTATAAAGTCTGATCGCAGATTAAAGCATATTATTTTCTCCTTTTTTTTGTTTGTTTTTTCTTTCTCATGGTTTTTCCCTTTTGTTCTGATTCTTCTTTCACAACATGATTAATGTGGAAATGTTTAATATGATTGTACATGTATAGCCTATATCACATGGCATGCCGTCTTAGGTGGGTGGGTGGGAGGAAAGGTAGAAGAATTTTGAAACTCAAAATCTTGTAAAACTGAATGTTGAAAGCTATAAATAAATAAATAAATGAATGAAATGAATGAATGAATGAATGAATGAATGAATAAATAAATAAATAAATAAATAAATAAATAAATAAATAAATGAGTGGCTTTTAAGAAATAAAGTGACCTTTAGGAATTAGGAAGTTTTTTTGAAATAATATCATAGGATTTGAGTTGGAACCTTTCTTAGTGATTATCTAATCCAAACCAATCACTCATTTTACTGAGGAGAAAACAGGCTCAGAGGTGTTAAGTGAAATGTTCAATATAATTAAGAAGCAGATCCAAGATATGAACACAGGTCTGAGAATTACAGAATTATAAAGAACTTCATTATGATCAACATGGAACTATACTTCAACCCATACCCAAAAGAAAACCAATCCCTACTATAACATACCCAACAAGTAGCAACCAGCCTCTCTTTAAAGACTTCCAATGAGAAAGAGCCTATTTCTAAAGGCAATAAACCTCAGTTTCAGAAAGCTCCATTTAGCTTTTCCTAACACAAAAGCCTAACCTCCTCCCTTAGCATTTTCTACTTATTGTTACTGATTCTATTCTATGAGGCCACACAGAACAAGTGTAATTCCACCTTTGTAACAGTCCTTCAAATACTTGGAAGACAGCTCAATATCTTTCAGGCCAAACATTCCAGATTCAAAATTTAAATCAACAGGTATCTCAAAGGTCATTTTGTCCAATCCCTTCATTTCACAGATTATGAAATTTAGGCTGAGTGAGCTGCTCAGGGTCCCAAAACACATAAGCATCTAAAACAGAATTTGAACCCAGATCCTCTGAAACCAGAGCCAAGGCTCTTTCCTCTGTACTATGCTGACTCCCCTAATTTCTTCCACTAATCCTCATATGATATGTAAGGTCCTTCCCTATCCTGACTGCCCTCCTCTGGATGTTCTCTAGCTTATCAATATCCATAAGTTCTGAACACAACATTATTTCAGATACAGTCCAACCAGGAACTATATTCTTCTTACTATAATAAATCCAGTGATTTAAGGAGATAAAAGTATCTGGAGAAATCAATCTCACATAGAATACACAAAAGTTTGTAAACCTTGGTAATTTTCTCATACCTGAAACTCCATTATAGCAAAATACAATCCAGTCCCCAATCGTCCCAAAATGATTATAGAGATCATCCAGCAGGGCCTTGTAAACTAAGATCGCATATTTAAATTTTATTACAAAATGTAAGAAACTGAAACCCACAAAGAATTCTGAGTTATGACTACAACAGAGGACTTGGACCAATGCTGTATGAGGAAGATAAGAGCTGAATGAGGTAACCTGACAATGACTGGTGTTAAAATACAAGGAAAAAGAATTCTTTGCTTTGGTTATCATGCCTGGTAACCAAATGTAGACGGGGATTGGAACCACTTGTAAAGAGACTGTGTCACATGTCCAAAGGGAAAGAAAAACCTACCCAGATTCCTAGGTCAGAAATCAAAACAAATTTGTATGCCTGGGATCCAAATATGCAAAAACTTTGCTCCTTTCAAAACCAGAAGATGAAGGATAAAGAAAGACAAAGGAGAAATCACATCTTTTTCCCCCCAAACTAAATCAGAAAAATCTCTATATTCATTGGGCAGCTTTTTTGGGAAAAAGTATCCCTAAGCTATGGGATTTTTAACCATTTCCAACTTGTTGCCTTTTGGGGGGGAAGGGGAGAGTTTAAATAAATTGAGACATCTTCTAGTTAACTGGTTCAAAGAAAAGGGGGAGAGGAGAAAATGAAGAGTAGAGATTCTATTTAACTAGAAAATTCAACCAACCAGAATTCCCATTCCACACTATGAAATTTAAGTTGTTACTATAATCTAAAAGTTTCATAAAACATAACTTGATTTTCTAATGAATGACCATCTAAAGTAACATTTTTCAATATTATTTAGATGCTTTAATGATGCGTAATCCTGAAAGTATTCTGCTCAGATGTTAAGAAAGAGGAAAAGAAAACGTCAACAGGAGAACGTACTGATGGCACATCTTTTAAATTTGCATTTTTTAAAAAAATGTTCAACCAAAAGACAATCTTTTTACTAAGTCAGACTCAGCTATTTACAAATTTGAGCAATTAAATCATTTATAAATAGCTCTGTCAGCTCAAAATCCTAAGAAGATTAATACTACTTACTGTAGTCAAGGGATTTGGAGTTGGTATAGGAAGCAACCCTGCACCAGGCATCAGACTCGTCATAGTTGGAGCAGGAGCCAGTAAAGAAAGGGCTTTGGATTCTTCTGGAATTTTACCTGGAGAGGCAAGTTCCACACATTACAGAGAGCAGAAACACCACATAAACTTTAGTCTATGATTTTACAATTACCCTTGCACTTAAAAAATAATAATAATAAATGAATCTATCTATCAGATCCTTAAAAAGAAATAAATAAGAACTTAAGTCTTTCCTTTACCCTGCTCTACTAGGAAAAATAAAAGTGATCAAAACTTCAAAGACTAGCAATCTCATTAATGGAATATTATTTTAAAAACTGAATAATGTAGACAATTATTTAACACTTTGAGCTATGGGTCACCTGTACTGGAAACTTAATGTTCATGAACCAAACGATATCAAGCATGGACGCTTTCCCAGGACGGTGTTTTCGCGGTGATCGAAAGTTGTGTTACACATGACAACCGTTCGTGTTGGCTGCATCACTAATAGCACACAGAACATCAGATACAGAAAAGAAGAACATTTTTTAAAGTTTAATCCCCAGAAATGGCAAATAACCAAATTAGTAAAAAAAAGAAAAAAAAGAAAAAAGAAAAAAACAAATGTGCGAATTGAAATCTGTTCCTAAACCAATGCCCCTTTCCTATCACTGAAACTACCTGTGATGCAAACAATACTGATGATGCCCAGATAGACTCCTTGTTTATTTCAAATAGCCAGGAAGGGGAAAAAATGTTCCACATAGTATTTTTGTCAACTTTGATTTAAATGGGGGGGGGTCCCTCATATATCTAACTAATACAAACATGATTTCTGTGACATATTGAGATGCCTCAGAGAATCAATTTCTAGATGTTCCCCTTGAATAATTTTGCTACAAATTAAAATAGAAAATGTATCTGGCCTTCAAGAAATCCCTTAATGCTTATATTTTAAATCTAATTTAAATAATACTTGCTTATAAGGGGACAGTTAACAATCATTGTGTCTTGTTATAAATAGTCCCAATGATTACTATCAATAACAGAATTACTAATTTCCTACAAATTTAGGGGGAGAAAAAAAAAAATCAATGACTTGATTTTTAAACTCCAAACCACCTTTTAATCAATATCTAGCAAATGTCTAAAACCAATCACAATTCAAGGACAATTGATTCATTTGTGTTACTGTTATTCCACCTAATTCAACGCTGCTCATTTTACTGAATAAAAATGCTAACCTAAAAATTATTTCACTTTAGAAGTTTGAATTTAAGACTTAAAAGTCTGTAAACATTTTATAGGTACTATTCATACCTGTGTGGCACAGAGTAGTTATGTACTTAACCCCATTATAAGCGTTCTAACTGACTCAATCCAGAGTATATAAAACCATCTCAGAGTGAAATGTAACTGGTGTAGCAAATTTTCAAAAGCACCATGCTGGGTTTTAATAGAAATAATCCTATTCAAAATAATCACATGTACAAGGAAAATCTGAGTAATATCAGGACCTAGATACTTTCTCTAACCTCATGTGGCATTTAAGATGGAAAGTTTAAACAAAAAAAAATTGTTGTGTCTAATTTATAGAATTGAACAGAAATTACAGCTTACTAGATTTAGGTTTGTTGAGTTATAGCCAAGTCAACAGTGAAGTATTAGTTCCCTAAATTTTGAAGCAAATTATACTACTTAATTTGACTAGTGTAACAAAAATTACACCTAATGCTACATTATTTGAATACAAGCTTGTACACATGCAGTTTTAACATGCACAACAAAATTAAAATGTAAGGTGGCCTTACTCATGACTTCAATTATTTATAATTTAGTCTACATTTATTAGCTACTAATGTTAGCAAAATTATCTATACCAAAAAACTACACTCCTTCTGTAGCACCTGATTGTGGATTATATATTTTATAAAATGCATAGCATGATTTTTAAATGTCATGAAATCTGAACAGCTCCTGAAGAGTTAATCTTCATCCTTGAATTCAGAACATATTGTTAACATTATCTCATTGCTATGGTAGTTATATACAAAGACAAACTGTAATTCCTATGTTGTCTGTTTAGTGCCTCAAATATGACACTGTCATTTAATAAGGAGAGGTCCAGAGAAGAAAGTGCGCTTTAAGTTATTAGGGGGAGGAGGGAGAAGAAGAGGGCAGGGAAGAACACCTCAGTACATATCAAAAAGTGAATCAGTTAAGTTTTAGAAAATCTTTCATTTATACTTTGAATGCTGCTTCTCAGTAATAAGTCAGAATATACAGGAGTCAAATTGTACGCTTGGAAGTATTTTTCTTAGTCTAACTGCCACTGAAGATATTCTAAAATTTTAAGTTTCATCGCTTAATTCCTAAGACATAGCCCTATTAAATTTATCTTCAAAATTCTTAGGTGTGTAAGAGTGCAATGCAAATGGACATCTTTCTTAATCTGTGTTTATTAAAGACAACAGTTAGGAAAGACAATAAATACTCCTCTTCCTATGCCTCAGCATCCATCTACACAAACTAAAACACTGAAGATCTGAAGAATTTTCAACAAAAGAGCCACACACACACACACACACACACACACACACACACACACACACACCCAAAAAGCCAACAGCTTCCCCCCCCAAGAAGCATTCCCCAAGTAGACAGCTAAAAGCCTTCCTATTTAAAGACAATAAGAATTTTTTCTGTAATGTCAAAAGTAGGAAGTCTCTTCACCTCAGCCTTCATATATAATAAATATGTGATATATTATAAAAATGTTCCATATTATAAAAAATGGGTTGCTAGATCCCTTGATGATTCTGATATGCCTAAAATTCCAGGAAAACGAAAGCAGAAACTACAAATTAGCTTTTCTCTGAAAGATGTGGTTAGTCTTAGAAAGCAGTCTGTAGAAAAAAAGTTTCACTGAGATTAGAAAATATTCAAAGGCATATTATTTATCACTGTTTCAGTACAGAATTTACTAAAACAGTTTATAAAAAACAATTAAGATATAAACTAAGTTCCAAAGCACTAAAACTGAGTTTTAGACACAAAACTTATTTGGCCTTAGTTGAAAACTGCAAATATACTACCTTCCTTTCATATACAACTTTGAAACAAAATACTATGAACTCTTAATGGAATACCATTTACAAAGAACTGGAATACCAGTTCACAAGTTAAAGTGAAAGAGATTTAACAAAACAAAAACAAAAACAAAAAAGGGACAAAATAAAGAAAAAGAAATTAAATTAAAGTAAAACAATAAAAAACAGAGACAGGGCGTCCATCTTCAGCGGGTCAGACTCCGATCTCATTTCCCCCATGAAGGTTTCACTTGACGGCAGGTTTAGTGGCATGGCAAACAATGCCTAACTCAGGCAAGTGTAAACAGGTCTGCCTTGGCCAGTCTAGTCATCTAATAATGCACAAATATCACATAGAGAAAACATACAAAACCAAATTAATAGTCAAAATCCATCTACCAGAAAATGTGGACATAAAGTTATGACTGATGGTTATGTGGCACCTTTATGTTTCAACCTTTCCTTTTTCTAAGTGTAACGTTTTTAAAGAGAAATCTGGGGATGTATGCAAGGAGAAAAAAAAAATCACATTTGGACAGCATAATGAAGCTATATTTTAAAATGGCATTTTGTGACTAGTAATAGCTAATGGTTAATATGTAATGTTACACATCGAACATTATTTCCACAACTGAGATACCTCTCACATAATGCCTACACTAAAGCAGGAAGCTAAAATAAACTGAAAAACACTCCATAAGCTTCTACAAGTTTTTTTTCTTTTCTGTCACAATGCTGTTTCTCAAGTATGCAAAAACAAATGCTGGCAATACTGACTATTGCTTAATCGTAAATAATCTGTCATTTTACAGTATTCAACTGGAATTCTTTCCTTTTGATTTATTCTGAAGTAACATGCTATTTTTAGCACAATAGTAAAGCATTACTCAGTTTGCAGTGCAAAATCTGATACATAACATCCACTGTAAACTTCTAAATGTTCTGTATGTAAATCACTCTTTTGCTGTATTAAACTCTAGTTTAATTATTCTTTGAAATAAAAAGTGTATCTGATTATTTTCTAATCTTTCAACATTAGACTATCCATGGGGCAGTTTACTATTTTAAAAAATATATATACTTACTTGTAACTAAAATGCAACAAAAAATGTTGTTTTTACATTCACATACTGTGAAAGCTTCTATCTCAAAATGGTAAAAAGTACTCAACTGTAATTAAAATTTTACTTTTAGTCTTTACTGAATATCACCCAAAAAAAAAGGAATTAGACAAAGTTAAGGCTGCTCAGGTATTAAGCTATAAGCTCTCCAAGGAAAATATATACAATGTACCAAAGTAAGACTGGTAATGCAATAGGTGAAATGTTTCCCTCTGATTCAGCAATGAATTAATTAATATAAGACCTTAGGCTACCAATGGTACAATCTTTCAAAAGTGCAGCAGTGGGTAAACTCTGCACATTTAATCTTAGTTGCTTGTTGGTCAAATTTCTGTGACAGATATCTTCTATGAAAATTCTTCACCACGCAGTTTCTACTTGGTATATAGCACATTTATTACCTCACTCCCAGCCTTGAAAAAACAAAAATTATCGTTCCTTCCCCAACTATTATAGGCTGAATACCCCTCACTGATCAGACTAAAAAAGATATTACACAAATAATTAATTGCATTCCCTTCTTTGTGGAGAACATCCATTTTTAAACTCATTTGAAAAAAATCCAGAATGTTCTATCCTGGGACATCAACTATACCAGAACTGTCCTCACTGTATTGGACTTTTAATGTTTATAGCATCCCAGAGTAATGCATCCTGAATCATACACAAAAATGTGACAGTATAATCTAGCCATTATCTTACAAGTAACTTTCTTTTCAGCAAGTTAAATTTATTCATGTGATATGAGTCCTCTAATAAAAGTTTTCATTAAATGTTTCAGGAATCTAATTTAAAATTTTCAATCATTCCTAGATGCTATAAGGCAAAATCTTCCATCAAAGGAATTATTTTAAAGTGATAGATATAATTTTTATGTAAATATTAATAGCTTAATCCTGAAATCCTTGTATATACACCAACACGACCTACTTTAAATGATTTAAAAAGACTAAAATATGCTACTACTTAAAAATCAATACAATAACTACTTGTTCTTAAGATAATGTAAGGCACTTAACCTTAACCTTAAGGCCTTTGGCCTCTTTCTGATGAATTTCTTAGAAAATATTTTTAACTTCAAAAAAAGCCTGTGAAAGTAAAAAATAATTTGTTTTATATAAAATCAGTATCAAGAAGTGAAATTAAGATCAATAACTTTAATGAAATTAATCACATTTTTATCTTTAACACAGACACCATTACTTAGATAACCCCAAATTGGCAAACTGTGCCCACTCTGTTTTGTCTCAATGGAAAAACCTGTTAGAACTGGATATTTGGGAGTACAAACTCCTACACACTGAGGTATTTAAATATATAATATCCATTGTGAAGATCATAATTCTTTTAGAATACACTCTGTAATTTGTAATTACTACAAATTTTCTTATAAATATTTAGATCCATAACAAAAAACAGGCAAATCAATGATTTAAATATGTATTTTACTACTAAAATGAAAACTTTTTTCCATTTTCAATTTTTGTTTTTGGTTTTAAAATACAAAACAGAGTACCAGCTACTTGCCAATTTCTGGGAGAACTAAAGGCCATCAACAAAAAGGACAGACTGACATTACAAAAAAACATCTAAAATACCAACCTTCTGCACAGGGTACAACTATCAGAGCTCTGTCAATAAAAACCGTGTTAGTTAGATGCTGGGCCACACCAACACTCGATGGGTCACGAAACTTAACATAACATACTTTGGAGGAAAAAGCAAGAGGTGCGTTGCTGCAAGATAAAAAGAAAAACAATCAGTCTTATAAACTTATTTAGATCTTTCATTGTTTCTCCTTTAAAAATGAAAATTATAAAATCTTACATAATAAGTCACTGAAATTTCACTACTTAAGATGAGTAATTATAACATGTTTGACCAAACTATTTACAATCGGTTCAACCCATATACACTTATTTTAATGTGTTAATGACCAGATCAACTAACTAGGCTGCAATAGACACTGCCCAGTTCTTGATCTGAATAATGTTTGAAAACAAATATCTGATCTAGAGATACTCAAGACGGGTAGTTAAGCACGTGGTCTCCTTATAATAACACTTGAAGTCTCTTTAAAAACCAGAGATGTCAAAAATGACCCACACCATTCTCCAGTGTAACCTGAACCACAGTAAAACATAAATGAGAAATATTTAACCAAATAAATATACAATAAAACAAAGATACTGTAATAATACATTTTAAAATTAAATCAATATGCCACTTGAAGGGATCCTCAAGTAAAGATTAGGGATCCCCTTTTCTATTTGAATTTAACACCACTGCTCTAGAATCCCAAAATCATTCTCAACCTCTCCTCCCTGACATTCAGATGCTGAGTATTTTTGATTGCACTTCATTCTCTCCCCTCCTCTCCATTCATAAGGCCACCTCTTTAGTACATTATCATTAACTCTCTCCTTCTTATGCTACTGTAATAATCTTCAAAAGGTTCTCCTGTGTGTGCTCTCTACAATTGCCCAAATACAATTACTAAAACACAGGTCTGAGGGGCACCTAGGTGGCACAGTGGCTAGAGCCCTGCAGTCAGGAGGACCCGAGTTCAAATCTGGTCTCAGACACTTGACACTTACTGTGTGACCCTATGCAAGTCACTTAACCCCAATCACCTCACAAAAAAAAAAACCACACATACACACACAGATCTGACCACATCACTTTTTTGTTCAAAAATCTCCAATGGCTATCCACCGCCGATACAGAATAAAACAGAAGTGTCTCCAACTGGCCTTTTACAGCTTCTCTACATACAAACTAGCTCTCCCCTACCTTTCCTGCATAGGAATAACCCCTTATTTCATAATTCCTCTTTATGGACCTTACATTCTAGCCAAATTGGTCTATTAGCTATTTCTCCAATTCACATTCTATACATGAGTATACTTTCCTCCTAACTCTCTTATAGTTCCTAATTTCCTTAAAAGCTTCATTCAGGTACCTCCTATCCTGAGAAACCTTTTAACTCCTCAAATAAACTTGCATTTACTTATCTCCACATATGCCTTTATCTTGACCCCCACCCACAAACACAACAAACATTTCAGAAGGTAAGCACCTGGAAAGCAAAGAGTGTTTCATTTTATCTTTTCATTCCCGGCGCCCAATAAAGTTCTTTGCATATCATAGGCACTAATAAACATTTCAATGAAATTTAAGGCTCCAAGAGGCCTCAATAGTGGCCAAAAGAAATCAGGGGTCTTTTATCCAAGTCTGGATATGTTCTAAAGCCTATTTTGCTAAACTTGCCTTATAAGCAAGCTGACCACAAGATACAAGAGAGGGTGGGAATGCTATTAAGGGTAGCTCCAACCACATAAGTCAGCAGAATATATGTGAGCAACAGTTTCATAATATCAATCTATCTGGCTAGACACAGAAGTCACCATCCACAAGTTGGTGACAATTTTTAAAGTATGTGCACACAGCTTAAAATTTATAAATTCTTGTTAACACAAGGTACTTTTACCCAAAGAAAACATACTATAAGCCACATGGGTCAACATTAAGTCTTGCAAACAGATGACTATTATAAATATCATTTTAGAGTTTAAGACCTTTGAGATAATTTTATACCACATAAAATAAAGGCATTTAGAAGTTCTGAAGGGAAATGGTATGATGTTGGTGAAGGTTAAAATTCATGTTTATTATTACAGAATAAAGTGTATGGGATGGCTCAATGGGAGTGGGATACCTGGGGTAACCATGATGATATAAGAAACAGAAGATATCAAAAACTTATTTGAAAAAAAGAACAAGTAAAAGCCAAATTATTTTTACCAACATCAAAATTTATATAGCTAGTAAGGCAGACATACTAGCAAAATAGCTATCCTTTAGAACAGAAGTCTAAACCTGGCCCACCACAAAACTCCCAAGTGGGGCAAGGATCAGATTAAAATGTAATTGTGAAATGTTTAACAAAATAAACAAAAATACAATATAATGTTAATTAGTGGTCTTCTAAGTCAATATGCAACCAGCAGGGACCCATTTTGATTTAACAGCACTACCCTACAACATCTGCATCTCTGTCCCACTCTACCCAAATCCATATCAACTCTTTCTAGATTATCCCTCCATCTAACATCCTCTTATTCCCTTCTCCCTTCTCCCAACCCATCAAATGATTCTGGCATCTCTCCCTGATTTAAGTCCTCTCTAAGAGGGTATAAAGGACCAAATAGTCAAGACGCCTTTGCTGCTATCTTCATAGCCACAAAGCCTTTCAATGAAGTATTTAGAACACAGCTGTGATGTCAACCCAAGTGTCGTCTTCTGTTTAAATTTGAAATTTGTCAATTCTGAGGACAAAAAATTTGGCACACCAGGGGCCTTACCATCATGACACATCATTGAGATAAACTTATGTATTGCAACTACATAGAGTGTTTAATAGGAGTACTGATTTTGGATGTTGAATTTGCCATTCTATCTGCCAAAGGTATGTCACATAATCTTCATCTCCTATTTGCTTTATAGGGTTATTAGGTAAAAGCATACATAAAAGTAATTGAAATTTTCAAAGAAGAATATAAATCTAACTTTTAACATTAAAAAAAAATTAAGTGCCAACAGCAGACAAAAAATTATATGAACAAATCTACACTGTAATTTTTAAAAATTAGTATAAGAAAAAAAGTCCAAATTTCTTTTCTCTCCAAATGTATCTGAACTGTTCAGTATATTTATTCTTATAATCTAAAGGGACTATAATTTTCAACTATATTTCAACCAAGAAGGAATACATTTCCTTTTTAAAGTTAACCTTAAATCTTAAATAGCATTTGGCAATAATTTGGTTTCAAAATAAGTACCTTGGGTTCCCTAGAAGAAAATTTATTAAAATCGAATTGTTTTTACAAACCTAGATGCCTCATTCAATAAAGAGATATTCAAGCCAAGAGACAAAAAATTAGTGCAGAAATTACATAAAGATATAAATAACTGACAGCAATAAGAAATAAAAAATAACTACAAATTCTCCTGGAACTTAAACTAAGATATTATCTGGAATTGCTGAAAAGTGATCAGTGAAAACTCTTAATATAAAATTTAAATTTTTCACCTGAGTTCAATTTTGGATGACAACCAAAAATTTTCAGAAGGATCAAAAATTTACTTTAGAAGCTTAACAGCTAAAATCATAAGACCAATTCTGTGAGTACCAACATCAACTTCCAAGTCTATGAAAAAAATTATTAACAGAATGTTAAAAAATTAAGTTTTTTCCACATTTAAACAAAACTAAAATATGGTTAAATAATGTTGAAGATAGATATAAAGCATAGATTAATAATAAGTTATGGAATTCAATACAATACTGGTTTCACTTCTTGTGTTACCTGAACAAGGAAGAAAAACCAGCAGATAAAACTATGCTATTGAGTTTTTGATATACTTTTCTGTTAGATTTAACCTATGTTATAGAAATTACTTTTTAAAAATAAAAATAGGAATATTCTGTTCAGTAAAGCCTGAGACTTTTTTTAAAGGTTAATTAAAATGGCAAAATAGTGAATTAGAAATTCCTTTAAAACTTTCTTATAAAACAAACAACAACAAAAAAAACCCTGAATCTCTTGACACACGTTATGAAAAAAAATCTGGATTTTTACACTACTGAAAGAAAATATATGCTGTAATTTTCAACTTTATTAACAAAATATATTTCTAAACTTAGAACCAAATTAATAGTTCCATCAAGTCATGAATGAGAAAATATATATTACTGATGTTCTAAATCAGAAGCTCTAGGCTCTCAATATAATATTTTAAAATATCACTACAAAAACATTTATCCATCCCAGCAGGCAAAACCCCAGTTTACCAAAAACAACCGGCTGTTAAATTCATTTACAAAATCTAGCTCGTATATTTTATTTAAGAACGGAAATCACTGAAGTACATCTTTCCCCCAAAAATGCAAAAAAAACCCCAAAAAACCAGGGTCTACCTCAATTTGGACAAAATATTTCAAACCTCTGTGAACTGATCCAATCACTCTAGAGAACAATTTGGAACCATGCCCAAAGAGCTATAAAACTGTGCATACTCTTCCATCCAGCAATACCACTGCTAGGTCTATATCCCAAAGACCTCCAAAAGAGGGGGAAAGGACCTATTTGTATAGAAATATTTATAGCAGTTCTTTTTGTAGTGACTGAAAACTGGAAATCAAAGGGATGCCCTTCAACTGGGGAATGGCTAAACAAGCTTTGGTATTTGATTGCAATGGATTATTATTGTGCTGTAAGAAATGACAAACAGGATGATCTCAGAATAACCTGGAAAGATTTACAGGAAATAATGCATAGTGAAGTGAACAGAACCAGGAGAATGTTGTACACAGTATTGTTTGATGAAGCAATATTGTTTGATGAAGAACTGTGAATGACTTAGCTATTCTCAGCAATGCAATGATCCAAGACAATCTCAAAGAACTAATGATGAAACATACTATCTGCCTCCAGAGAAAGAACTGATATTGTTTGAATAAGACTGAAGCATGCTATTTTTCATTTCCTTTCATTTTTCTTTTATTCAAATCTTCTTATACAAAATGACTAATATGGAAATGTTTCACATAAAAAAATTTCAAACTTTAAACTTCATGATTTGTTTAAAATGTTTTGTTTTTATTTATAATGATTTCTTTTTAATGGGAGGGGAATTTCAGCTTTTGCTTCCATGGACTTGTGTTACTTTTATTCTTTATGTTTTTACAGAAGATGTACTTTTAATAGACCATATTTTTGCTGTAATGTGCTCCTTACCTCTTTTAGTGTGAAATCATAAGCACTAATAATAAATTGGTTTAATATTTATAATAAGAAAGCTTTATTATTAGATACCTATGTTCTCCATGATAGACACACACCCCATTCTTCACCCCCAGCCTATGTTTCACCTAATTTAATTCAAATATTTATTAAATGCCTTTTATACTTAGTACACCGTATATACATGTGTGTACAGTTTGCAAATTTTATATACTTATATACAATTAGGCAGCTGGTGTTACAGTGGATAAAACCTAGGCCTGGAATTAGAAAGAGCTGAGTTCAAATTCAGTTTCAGACACTGACTAGCTGAGGGACCCTGGGCAAGTCACTTAATCTGTTTACCTGTTTCTTCAAGTATAAAATTGGGATGATAATTAATATCTACTCCACAGACTTGTTTTGAGGACCAAATGAATCAGTATTTGTAAAAAAAAAAGTCTTTAGCATAATGTTTGGCATATAGTAAATGCTATATAAATGCTTATTCCCTTTCTCATACCCTTCCCATAAGAGTGGGCTGAAAAGTTAAGGCTAAAAAAAATGATTTAATAGTTCCTTCAAGGAGCTTTTAATCAAATAAGGACATAAGCAGACAACTGTAACACATTATAATGGGTTAGGTATATAAAATTAACTGGTTGTAAGACAGTATTGAGGGTTTTCCAAGAGTTAATTTGTGTACTAGATGGCTATTAATTTTCATGTAATTAATTCATAAGCAGGGGGCCTAAATGGTTTCCATCTTATGAACTCTTTGGAAGTAAATATGGAATGTTTTCTATCAATGCATACTCTAGGGGTATCAAAATGCTTTTGTATGTGGGGGGGGGGAAGCAAGAACTTCTTCAAGAAGTTCATCTTATAGTGCAACTGTGTCCATTTAAAGACAAATGTTTCTATATGTAAATGTTTTTTCTAATCTGGTCATTTCTGTCCCCACTGGAAAGCCATTATGACCTCCCATATCAACTTCTTCCTTCACTGTACATTTTGGGCAATTCTGTAGTGTGAGATCTATATACATTAGTGACAGATACTAGCTGTAAATATGAATAAAGTATTTGTACAGGAGCATCAGGTAATTTTTTAAATACTAAAAGTGTATAAAAGAGATCAAAGAGTAAGTATGAAAGATTCAAGGATGAAGGGATCAGTTTTAGCTGGAGCAATCAGGGAAAGCATCAAAGAGGCTATGGCATTTGAGTCGTCTTAAAGGATTTCAACTGCCAAAAGCATGGTAGGAATTCATTCCAAATGATAGCCTACATAAACACAGTAAGTTACAAAAGGGAATACAAGATCAGGAAATCACTAGTAATCTAGTCTGGCAAAGGAACAGTGTAAATTTGTATTCGTATTTAAGCATAGGTGTACCTATCAACTATGTATTCTTAGAAAGATTACCTTGGCAGTAAAGTTAGGAAGAGACACCCTACTGTGGCTAAGAAAAATACAAAACCCTCAGCTTGACATTAAAGCCTATCACAATAGGGCTTTTACCTTTCCTTCAATTACTACTTAATAATATTTTAAGCACTTAGAATTCTAGTCAAACTGACTTGCTAATTGTTCCTCACACATGACATTCCAACTTCTACCTCTGTGCACACATCTGAAATTCACTCCCTCTATTTCCTCTCTTGAAGAATCCTTAGTTTCCTTCCAAACACAATTCAAATGCCACCTCCAACAGGAAACTTTTCAAGAGAAGCAGTATGTGATGAATTCCAATAATGGCTTTACCACTTATGCCCTGGGCTAATCACTTCACTTCCCTGGGTCTCAGTTTCCTCACCTGTAAAATAAAGAGGGCTGGACAAGATGACTTTAAAGGTCCTTCACAAATCTACCTTTACAATCCACAATTTCCATCACCACCAGTGGTGTAAGTACAATGGGATAATAAATTACTTTGTGTACTTATCTGTGTTCTTGTATTTCTCCCATGTCCTTGATGACAGGGACTGTTTCTTTTTCTTTTTTGGTCTATACAGGATTATTATTGGGAACATAATATTTGTTGACTTGGTCAGGAAGGGACAAAGCAGAAAAATGGACATGAGTTACAAGTCTACCACTATAGTCCACCCTCTTAAAATAAAAAAGTGTAGTGTCCCGTGTGTGTTCACCCCCGGCAGCTTTCTACCAGTTAAAAATGGAGCCGCCAAAGGCACAGAGAGGTCAAGTAACTAGCCCAGGGTTACAACGAGAGAGATGGGATTTAAACCCTGGTCTTCCAAGACCTCCAAGAACTCTAACCAATTTTAAAATATTTAGGTAAAAACACTTAATTAACTGAGACAATCTTATGTCGGACCTAAGAGACCATCAAAGGCCTCTTCTACAAAATAATATATTAACAGGTATCACACTGCTTGCCTTTTCCATGGATGGGAAGACGGGATGGATAGAGAGGCAGAAATTGGAACTCAAAAAAAAATTTTTTAACGTTAAAAATAAATAAATAGACTTCCAGGGAGAAGGGGGAAATAATATATTATGTTTAAGAGGACTCCGCTGTTTTGCAAGAGCAACTACAATATCAAAAACTGCAAGGAATGATAGGCTGTCGGATGACTAACAAGTTAGCTGTTTTGTTTTTTGTTTTAAGTACTTCCTTCTCCACCTTTTTATTGACACAAGGAATGGCTTACTGAATAGGAGAAAGTTTCATATGGAAATTAAGATTTCTTTAAACAGAGAGAGAAAAGAAGAAAAGGCATGGCTTTGAGTGAAACATACCATACAATGACCCCCAAAATTTTTTTTTAAGTTTATGTTACTAATCATAGCCCCAACCCCATTTCTGAGGACACGGAACTTGGAGTCGGAGCATCCCGTTGGAACAAACCCCAAAATAACCAAGCCAAGGCGTAGAGGGCTCCCGCCGTGGGAAGTAAGACAAAGTTGGGGTTTCCCGGGAAGAAATGGAAAGGGGCGGCCAAAGACTATGGGCCCAGGTCACAAGACCTGGAAGTCCCCCTCCTGAGCCCAACGGGCGCTGGGCCGCGGGCTGTCGGCGGGGTGAAGGCGGCCAGACCGGGTTAGCTCCCACGCCCGCCGCCGGTCCCAATGCCACCTCCGCGGGAAAGCTAATCCCAGGCTCTCGCCCAGGGTGCACAGCCTAGGCCCGGCCGCAGCCATCTTAGATTCAGGCGGAAAAAAAAAACCCCACCACCATCCCCCCTGGCACTATCGTGAAATATTTCTGATCCAACCAACATCACGACAGCCCCAATTCCCCTAAAATGCCTCCACTTGGGTAAACACAAGGCGGGAGCGAGGGTCGGGAGCTGGGGGAACCCGCCGACTGACGAGGGTCCCCCTGCCCTGATCCAATATGGCCGCGGCGGCAGCCCGGAGGTCACATGGCCCGACGCGCGCCCAGGCCCCCCCATCCCGCGGTCTCTATGGCGCCCGCGCCCCGCGCCCCTCCCCCCAGCAGAGCCCAGGCACTTACTCCGGGGGGTAAAGCCGCAGCTCTTCGATTTCTCCCAGGAAAGTGAACAAGGTCCGCATCTGCTCGCTGGTCACCGCCGACGACAGGTTAGTCACCTGAATCACAGCCGTGTTGGTCAGGCCGAAGCCCAGGCCCAAGGTGAAACCGCCGCCGCTGTTCATCCCGACCCGGTGCTCGTCGCCTTCCCGCAGCCCCAACGTCTACTACGCCGCGTCGCCGCCGCCGACGAGAGCCGAGGAAGAGCGGAGAGGAGGCGCGGCAGTGAGCGCGCTCCCGACCGCGGAGTGGCGGCGCCGGGCAGGTCTAGCCGCCCTACTCACAACTCCCCTGCTCCTCCGGGCTGCGCGCGCCCTGGGCTCGCCGCCCCCTCCGCGCGTGCGGAAGCGTCGCCCCGGCAACCCGGCCTGGGGGCCCCTCACCTGGGGCGCACCTCCCCCGCGGGCGCCGCGAGCCGGAGAAGTGCGTCACGGCCGCGCGCGCTCTGCCTCCTACTCGGGGGTTTGAGGCAGGGTTTTTAATGCGAAGTAGACCAAACCCTCGGGGTGCCATCGAAATGGGCCGGTCTCCTCTCGGCTGTTTTAGCCCCGGCTTTATTCTTACTGGCTGATTCTGATCAAATCAATAATCACTGAGTATTTTAAGCAACTCCCAGTGGCGCCGAAGCTGGAGCTGGGGATACAATGACGAAAGGGAAAGAGACCCTGCCCGCAGAGAGCTTACTTTTTCTTGGGGGGGGAGGGTTACATGTACATAAAAATGTATACCATACAAGTACGTGATAAAATTGGGGAAGGAGAGCAACTAGCAGCTGGGGGAAAGGCTTCGTGTAGAATAGGGTTCTGAGCTTGGATCCGTGGACTTTTTAATTTAAATTTTTTTTTTACTTTCAATATAATTGGGCTCTTCTCTAATCATGCGTAGTTTAAGTCATACAGTATCATGTTCCCCCACATACACCCTTACTGCCCTCCTCCAACATGACAAATCTCCCAGCTTTGGCTCTCTCCCATGCAGGAGATGCTCTCTTTATCTCCCCCTTGCTTCCCTGCTTTTCCTTTAAGTCCCTGCTCAAATCCCTCCTTTTTCCTAATCTTACAAGATCAAATCATCTAAGAAATTCACGTTTCCTGGGTGGTAGGAAGGTGCCAAGGGCATACATATATAATACAGAACATTATTTTGCCGTTTAGGTAGTAGGGTCCTTTAAGCCATGGAAAGCAAAAGTTGGTGCTTAATCTTGCCCCAGACCTCTTTTCTCCTAAATCTAAACAATAGTAAAATGTACTCTCGCATAGCTCAGCATAGCCCGTACCTCCAACACAAATGGATAAGAAAGCTTGCAATATAATTGCTTTAGATAATTATGTTTATACCAGAGACCAGGACACCTGGTCTGGTTTGTGTGATCTCTGACCCGTAATGATGGGGTGCTCGGGTGCTTGTGCTTGTACTTGTGCCCCAATTTCTCCCTAGTCTCAGAAACACAGTCTCTAACAACCATTCCCCAGCCCAAGGACACTGTGCCTAGCAGTTATTCATGCATGGGTCTCAGCATGACCCTTATCTCTCTCCCTGGTACAGCTACACAGAGCTGGGCTGCTCAGGCCCCAGCCCTCAGATCATGTCTCTGGAAGCCTCCCAATTCCTCAGTAAGTTCCTGTGTTGTGAGAAAGCTTTCCCTTGTTGCAGAGCTTTCTCTCATCAAGACAGAGGGAGAGGGGTGTCCTTGACCAGCCCAAGAACTCTTCCTCTTGCCAGACTTCAAAGATCCATCCCCCTCCCTGTCCTGTATACTCCCTGTACTTTCCCATCCATAGCCCCCAAAGACACCTGCATCTTTGGATTACCTCATCAGTGTTTCTCGCATTTCTTTCCCATGCTCTTTTCTATATAAACACCAGCTCGACCCCTGATGGGGGCTGCTTGATTTGGATGTAAATACCCCTGGCAGCCCCGTGCTAATAAATCCACATCTTAAATTATGCCTGGATCTCACTCGCTGATTTCTCGGTACAACACACGGGCCATAGAATGTATTAGGCCAAACCGCACAATGACCATGCTAAGGCATACAAGGCCTCTGACCCCTGGGAGTTTAAAGAAAAGTAGGGTTTCTGGGGAGGAAAGGTGAAGGAGCTGCAAAAGACTGTGGGCCCAGGCCACAAAACCAGGAAGAAACCCCATTCATGACCCCTTCCTTGGACCTCTCCATCTCTCTGATTGTGGAGGGTGGACTTCTGAGGGATCCCAGATGCTTTCTTTAAGGAGGGGCCCTAGGCAGACACCTCATAATATCCCACCTGGTTGGAGGACTTTATGGTGGGCTGAGCCTGGTGTCCTCTCTCCCCCTACTCCTCCCCAACCTCTCATCCCTTTTCAGCTTGTTTTTATGTGCTGTTTTCTCTTCAGATTATGAGCTGCTGGAGGGCAGGGACAATCTGGCCTTTTTTTGTATCCCCAGCGCTTAACACAGTGCCTGAACAGTAGGCCTTTAATAAAGATTTACTGACTTTCTATGGAAAGCCTTTCTCCTTAATTAGGCACCTTCCCTCTGTTGACATTTCCACATAATTTTGTGTATAACTTCGTAGTTGTTTGTATGTTGTCTCTACCATTAAATGACTGGGATTTTGCCTGGATTTTTTGCCTTTCTTTATATCCGCAGTGTTTAGCGTAGCAGGTGAGCTGCTTGTTGTTCAGTCCTGTCCAACTTCATGACCCTATTTGGGGTTTCCGTGGCAAAGACACTGGAGTGGTTTGCCATTTCCAGCTCATTTTACAGATGAGGAAACTGAGACAAACAGGGTGAAGTGACTTGCCCAGGGTCATACAGTGACAGAAGTGTCTGACACCAGATTTGAACTCAGGAAGATGAGTTTTCTTGACTCAAGGCCTGGCACCTTATCCACTCCGACACCCATCTGCCCTAGTTGTTGTTTGTCCTTCATGAGGAAGACCATGACATCAGGAAGGTGATGCCATGACCTGCAAGTGAATTAGATTCAAGTGAGGCAGGGCTATGCAAAGTCATCAGCCTCACTCTCTCCTCTGGAGCCATCTAGGTCCAGTGGCAAGATATAGATCAGGACATCTAGACCTTAGCCTTTTTAAGCTAAGGTCTTTCCCAGGTCTCAGTTTGACTGAGGCAAGACCCATTCATTGATTAAGGCTAGGCAAGAAATGTGGCAAAGAATAGCCTCTTTTATCTAGTCAAAAAAAAAATCAATCTGGGAGATGAAGACCCTCAGGGAAACCTTAGAGTTTCTGGCCAAACAATTTCTATTTAGAGTCACTCTGAGCCGTCAGGGCTGAAACAAAGACCAAGGGAGGCCTGGGCTGAGAACTATTATTGGCCAGTCAATGAGAGCTGGAGTGATTTGGCTTTAAGGCATGGTTCTTTGTTTTCTAGAGAGGCAATCCTGGCTAAGTGACTCCGGCAGAGTCACACAGCTAGTTAAGTGTCAAGTGTCTGAGGCTGGATTTGAACTCAGGTCCTGACTCCAGAACTGGTGCTCTGCCCATTGCACCACCTAGCTGCCCCCAAGGCATGGTTCTTAAGAAAGAAATCTAGCCTGTAGACCCCAAGATATCTTGCAAGGTTTCATCCATCAAAATTTACATTCCTTTGGGCAGAACATCAGCAGGTAAGGTTATGATACCCTATGTGGACAGAGGGAGAGGAAGGAAGGAAAAATGGTCAGATGGAAGAAGAAAGGAAGGAAGGAGCTGCGTTGCCCAACTAGAACTGGCCGGTTGGGTGCCCAGTAGGGCAGCTCCTGGTACTCAAAGGTTGTTGTTTGTCCTTTGTTCTCCGAGAGGACCATGACATCAGAAAGGGGATACCAAGACTTCCAAGTGAACTGAATTGAAGTGAGAGAGCTGTGCAACATCACCAGTCTCACTCTCTCCTATGGAGCCATCTAGCAGCTGCCCTAGTAGGTGCTTAATAAATGCTTGTTGACTGTGATTTCCTAGCACTATACTCAGCCTCTGGAGATACAAAGAAAGGCAAAAACAGTTCTTGCCTGCCCTCAAGTAACTTATAGTCTAATAAGGGAGACAACATGCAAACAACCTTGTGCAAACAACCTTGTACAAACAAGCTATATACAAGATAAGTTGGAGATCATCTCTGAGGAAAAGGCATCATCATTAAGTGGGATTGGGAAGTCCTCTTGCAGAAGATGAGATTTTAGCTAAGAATTTAATTTTTTTTTTTTTGCTTTTAGGCAATTGGGGTTAAGTGACTTGCCCAGGGTCACACAGCTAGTAAGTGTCAAGTGTTTGGTCTCAGGCCACATTTGAACTCAGGTCCTCCTGACTTCAGGGCCTGTGCTCTATCCACTGCGCCACCTAGCTGCCCCTTTAGCTAAGAATTTAAGAAAGATGAGTTGGAGATGAGAAAGAAGAGAATTCCAGGCGTGGGCAAGAGTCTACGATTTAAATCTTATGGGTTTTAAAACATCATTTTGAATAGGGATCCATAGGCTTCACTAGACTGCCAAAAGGGTGCAGGTCACACACACAAAGGTCACAAATTCCTTATATAGAAAGTACTAGAGTAGAATTTTTAAGGGAACAATAAAAGTAATAGCTAACATTTGTCAAGCAATTTTAGGTTTTTTCATCCTCACAATAACCCTGTGAGGGAGATGCTATTATTATCTCCAGGAAACTGAGAGTAAGAAATGCTCCTGGTCACGTAGACGATAAATATCTGCCTGATTCCAAGTTCAGCGCTCTATTCAATGTTCACCTAGCAGCCTGGGATATTAAAAGGTAGAGATGAGGAGAGAGTGCATTCCAGGCAGGAGGGAAATACTAGTACAAATCCATGAAGAGAAAGAGGGGTCTTGTGAGGAAAGTCAAGGGCAAGTGGATGAAGCTGGTGTGGGAATACTCTTAAGAATAGGCAAAGAAGGGGCAGCTAGGTGGTACAATGGATAGAGTACCAGCCCTGGAGTCAGGAGGACCTGAGTTCAAATGTGGCCTCAGATACATAATACTTCCTAGCTGTGTGACTCTTGGTAAGTCACTTAACTCCAATTGCCTCATTAAAAAAAAATAGGCAAAGAAGCATAGAAAGGATAACAACCAACCCTAGATCAGGAAAGGAGGAAACCTTTCTTCTTCCGATAAGGAAGAATTCCCAGGTCCTCAATTTCATATTACATAGACTTCTATTGGCTAGTCAAGCAATATAGCCACTATTTATTACATTTTTATGAGGATGTTTTTGAGGTCCAAACAACTGATTTAAAAATGAACTTTTGGAAAGTTGTGGGTTGTTTCTTTTTAAAGTGCTGGGCACTAACCAGTCCTTATCAAATAGCATTTAAAACAACCCTATTCACAGGGTACAAGGCTGGGTTGAGTACAAGGAAAATTAAAGTGACGGATCTTTATCTAGGACTTTACTGAATAAGACACTGTAACTCAAGTATCTTGTTTGGTGGGGTGGTACAGGAAGGAAGGTAAAAGATGTTCCAAATGACACTCCCCTGTGGCTGTTGTTTTTGGCTGCAGTGCTTAATTCCCAGA